GAGAAAGGTTAAGTTTGGACAAAGGTTAACTAGGTTAATAATATCAGGGTCTGTGATGGCGGTCCACCGGTGAGGTATACGTAATAGGTTTTTAAAGAAATATATATATAGAAAATTTATACATAGCCGCTTACTGAATCAGTATCTCTCTATGAAGTTCAAAAGATCTAAAAAGACTAAGAAGGTTGCTTGGTATGAAAGAAACGTATGACGAATAACTCGGGCAACCGAGATTTTACTCTTTAGGCAATCACCAATCAAGTATGATCAATCTATAGAAGCCATGCAACACTGTTTGTTCGTTTTTGAAAAATCATCATTTCCTGAAAAGATCATTTTGCATCTTAATGCGATAATTTCCCGAAATCTACGCGAAGTGTAACGTTGCTATTCAGAAATTCCGGCTTGTTTAACATGTTAGATGATATATTAACCTAATAATATCACAAGTCTAGCCTAATCAAAGTCTAATCACTGTCTCAATTCTGTAATGATCTGATCACTTTTTTTGACATTAGTAAAGTTTTGTTTATTTATTCAGTGTAGTTTTTTTTGGATTTTGGGCTTATTTATGATGTGTTTCGAAACTGGTTACATTGTTCTTTGACTTTCCTTTATTATTCTTCCCCCCCTCCAACCCGCCTCTTACTCCCGCTTTTGGTCCTTTCTTCTTTCCTTTTCCTTCCTTTCTATTATTACCGAATAAAAATTTCCACACCTAATAAAAAAAAAAAAGTGTGGACTAACTTCCTCTATATTTTACTCCTATAAACCTCGACAAAAAGGACAATACATATGAACTTTCTACCAACTGAATTACTTCACAGTATTTTTACTCTCCTTGGCAATGACCAAAAGTCCTTGTCTTGTGCATCCAAAGTGTGTCGTCAGTGGCGAGCTATTGTTCTGCCCCTAATATATTATAGACCACAATTTAGAGACATAACTGACTTTCGTAAATTTCTACGAATTTCTTATACTTCTGGTTCTTTAGTTCGTGAAGTTAACCTATCACATTTACCTCACCGGTGGACCGCCATCACAGACCCTGATATTATTAACCTAGTTAACCTTTGTCCAAACTTAACCTTTCTC